ACGGCACTCTGCCCAGGGGGACAGCTTGAGGCTCTGTCTCAAAAAAAAAAAAACAAAAAAACAAAAAAACAACAAAAAAAAGAGAATCGCTTAAGCCCAAGAGTTTGAGGCTGCTGTGAGCTCTAATGCCATAGCACTCTACCAGGGTGACAAAGTGAGACTCTGTCTCAAAAAGAAAAGAAAAGAAAAAGCACTTGCTTGCCGTTGCTCTAACACCTCACATATATTTTTAAAATTCTCAAAACAATCTTCTGAGATATAGGTACTGTTATTACTGCATATTTTTCAAATGAATAAACTATGGCACAGAGAGGTTAATAAAGTTGCTCAAGGTCATGCAGCTAGTTAAGTGGTAGAAGTAGGATTTTATAATAATTTAGATAGTTTAGCTTCAGAGACCATGTGCTTAACTACTATACTGTGCTACACTAAACTATACTATGCTTATATACTACACTATACTACACTATACTATACTATATTAATACTATACCATACTATACTATAATATGCTATAGTATACACTATTTTTCCTTCATAGCATAGGAAAGCTAGTTTCCTATGAACTTTTTCCAGGTTCTAGACTATACGGAGGTAGATGTGTGACCAGAACAGAAAAGGGACAAAAATCTTTTCATCTCTTAGTCTAGAACTATTGAGATGAGGGTGCTTAGCACAGGAACTATAGCCATTGCAGAATCAGGAAAATATTTGCCTCATTCACATTATAAGTTTAATCACCTGGAGGTGGTCAAGGAAAGAACTTTAAGAGGATCTGCATTGAAGTAATTGGACAAAGGTCACTGGGCACATCCCTGTAGTCCTAGCTAAGAGGGTGGCTGAGGCAGGGGAAGATTTTTTGAGGCCATGAGTTTAAGGCTGCACTGTGATTGCACCTGTGAATAGCTACTGCACTCCAGCCTGGGCAACATAGTAAGATCCTGTTCGCAAAAAAACAAACAAAACATAAACAGGCCAGGTGTGGTGGCTCATACCTGTAATCCTAGCACTCTGGGAGGCCAAGGTGGGTAGATAGCCTGAGCTCAGGAGTTCAAGACTGGATTAAGCAAAGCAAGACCCCGTCTCTACAAAATAGGAAAACTAGCTGGGCATTGTAGCAGATGCCTGTAGTCCCAGCCACTTGGGAGGCTGAGACAAGAGGATGGTTTAAGCTCAAGAGGTTGAAGTTGCTGTGAGCTATGATACCGTAGCACTCAACCCCAGGATGACTGAATGAGACTTTGTCTCAAAAAAAAAAAAAAAAAAGAATTTGGCAAAGATCACTCCTGACCCCACTTTATTTCCTTCAGTTCTTGTGTGATTGTTTTTTGCTGACCAGGTGCTTGGTCAGATCCTATTGCCACACTTTTCCCTCCCAATGCCTCAACACAATTAGATCCTAGTGTTGCTAGTCACTAGGATCAGACTATTGTTCAGAGGTATCAATACAGGTAGCCAAGTACCCTGGTTGTAGAAGTATTTGCCCTTTCCTTACTAATTTTGTTTTCTTTAGCTCCTTTCTCTCTTTAGATAGTTTTCTTTCTGACTTCTCTCAGAGCTTCCTACACCAGATTGGACCTAATGAATAAATGATATTCAGACGTCCATCTCCTCCAATGGCTGCTCATGTAGGTTACAGCTCTTTAAAAATTAAAAGGCACATGAGAAGAGCATGGGTAAAGAAGAACCAAAATATTTACCCACTTAAGTGTAGAAACAGCTAAGCCAGTACCCAGGGACGTCAAATTAAAGGAGCTTGAATGCAGAAAATACCCTGGGGTGAGGTAGAAGTTGTGTATAGAAGGCAAAAGGAAGTAAGAGTGGCGACTTTTGTGCTCTAAGGGAGGGATGGGTTTCCTCTGGGGGAACAGCTCTGTTGTTTGCTTCCTTAGATTTTCATGTGCTGCTCAATATAGCAGTCACTAGTCACGCAAAGTCATTTAAAGTTATTTAATTAAATAATTAAAAATGTAGGGCTGGGCACAGTGGCTCATGCCTTAATCCCAGCACTCTGGGAGGCCAAACAGGGCAGATTGCCTGAGCTCAGGAGTTTGAGACCCGCCTGAGCAAGAGCAAGACCCCGGATCTACTAAAAATATAAAAACTAGCCTGGTGCTGTGGTGGGGACCAGATCCTAAAGAGGATCACCTGAGTCCATGAGTTTGAGGTTGCTGTGAGCTATGATGCCACAGCACAATACTAAGGGTGACAAAGTGAGACTCTGTCTCAAAAAAATAAAAAATAAAAATAAAAATAAAAATATAGTTCATCAGTAGGCATATTCCAGAGCTCAACAGCCACAGATGAGTACTGGTAACTGTATTGGACAGCACAAGTAAAGAATATTTCCATCATCATAGAGTTATTTTGGATAGTGCTGGGTTAGGGGTATTAAGGTATCAGGAGGGAACGCATATGTTCTGGCCCTTCCAGCATCCAATCTCTAAGATGCCTTGGGTATAAGTTATCTATCCTCTCCCTGTCACCACCATTCTCATATCATGTATCAGTAGCCAGACTGGGGACACAAACAACCATGCTCAAGTGCTCCCTGGTCTCTCCATTTCTTTCTCCTGCTTCCTGGCCTGCTCTTGTCCTTGATCCAACCACTCCAGCCCCTGAAAAACAAGCTGCAGAAGAAACTTTTCCATTAACTTTGACCTAGTTTCCTGGTCACAGATTCAACTGGGTGGAGCCACTAAATTCTTGAACAGGTGAAGGAGGGTGGGGGATTCAAGTGAGAGTCAAACAGAGCTAAGGATTGACATGTTGGTAATGAAAAACAGAGACTCAGAAAGCCAGGAGAGCTGTGGAAAATGAAAGATAAATGAAAAATGAAGACTGAAATGGGAAAGGATCTTTTCTTTTCTTTTTTTTCTTTTTTTGAGACAGAGCCTCAAGCTATCCCCCTGGGTAGAGTGCCATGGCATCACGCTCACAGCAACCTCCAACTCCTGGGCTCAAGCGAGTCTCCTGCCTCAGCCTCCCAAGTAGCTGGGACTACAGGCGCCCGCCACAACGCCTGGCCATTTTTTGGTTGCAGCCATCATTGTTGTTTGGCGGGCCCGGGCTGGGGATTCGAACCCGCCAGCTTAGGTGTATGTGGCTGGCGCCTTAGCTGCTTGAGCCACAGGCGCCGAGCCGAAAGGATCTTTTCAATCTCATTGTTCAACTCACATTTATTTTATGTAGAACTTCTGGGAGCCTGATACTTGGAATTAGTTTGTGGACACCCATAGCAAAGCCAATCCTCAAATAAAAGCCAAGACTACATCTGTCTGCAAATACTTAAATTAGCTAGAAATCAAAAAAAGCATGGACCTCAGCCATCCCAGAGTTTCTCACCTGGACCCTAGGCAACAATGGACACTATCTCAACAAAAAAAGTGGAATTGTAGAATTAATCTTTAATTATGACCCTACAATAAAACAAAGAGGAAGGGATAAGTGTGGGGATGAATATTTAGCAAACCTTTACTGTTGATTATATGCTTGGATAGGAACCAAGGAGATTAAAAAAAAAGTAGCTACTTCCAAAGAATTTGTTTTTTGAGACAGTTTCATTTTGTTGGCTTTGGTAATGCCATGGCATCGTAGCTCTCATCAACCTCAAACTCTTCGGCTCAAGCCTCAAGTTCAATCCTCTTGCCTCAGTCTCCTGAATAGCTGGGACCACAGGCACCACCACAACACCCAGCTAGTTTTAGAGCTAGGGTCTTATTCTTGCTCAGGCTGGTCTTGAACTGGTGAGCTCAAATCGAGCCATCCACCTGCCTTGGCCTCCCAGAATGCTAAGATTACAGGGGTGAGCAACTGCACCTGGCCCAAAAATTTAATACTCCTAATTCTTAGGTCCTAAAGTTACCCTTGTCAGCATATAAACCTCCACTCTTTTACATCCCCTCACAAACTTTTCCCTGTATTTCAAGAACTCATGAACTACTCTCAATCTGGTTAAATTTAATGATTAGCCATGGATTTGGAAAACTAGCTTAGGCCATTGGAAGATCCCCAGGGAAGGAAGACCAAACATAGCTCCAATCCTTCCCTCTTCACCCCCCCCCCCAACTCCCACTTTAATGACATTTGTAAGAGTCAACAGGAAATGTTCTTTCCATGGATTTTTAGAAGTATGGAGTGTGAAGTAAAGGCAAGCTTCACTTAACAGGTACACCTAATAATTTCTCCAATGCCATCTCAGACAAAAGAAAGAAGAACATTTGTCATTAAAAAACCTTTTATTTATTTTTTTTTACAAAGAATACCCCCACCTGGGGCGAAAATATATCTGGTTAAGTACAAAATATAGTTTTGTATCATACAAAAAGATAATTAAAAACAAAACCAAACCATTGTCAGCCTATACTTTCTGGCTGTAATGATTCTCAGCAAGGGTGGAGCTCAGTGCTCTGACACAGGACAGTGAACAAAGTGCTATGGCTGAGAGTGACTGACCAAGTACTGGCAGCTGCAGTGAGAGAGGAGCTAGTATCTCTATCTCCTGACACAGGGCAGGAAGGGAGTTCAAGGGGCTTTTGTGAAGACTTGCCCTCTAGTTTCTCATGGCAGTGTCTGGAGGCTCTGATCAGTGTTGGAGTGTCTTGATCTAGAGTTCCTCCATGGGTTTGGGAGAAGTCACAATGGGCAAGGCTGACAGCAACAGCCCTTTTATATAATTAAAGTGTTAGAATTATATAATGTTGTCCACTGGGACAAAGTCTCAAAAGTGTAACACTTCTTTTTTTGTCATTGTGCTTACCCCTAGAGACATAGTAGACCAGTTTTAGCTTATATTTAAAAGGAAAAAGAACAAAAAACTTGACAGACACTAAAGTGCTAAGAACATTACCTTAGAATAAATTCCAAGGACTCACATGAAAAGAAAAACACATTCTCCCATATGAAAATGTTTACAAAAAGAGAATACAGTGCAACAGGCTCTAAAAATGGCTTTTAAGACCTTTGGTGAGACAGTTACTATTGCTTTAAGCCAGGTTAAGGTATGTTCTAAACAAGGCAACCTTAGAAGAGCAGCTTCCCTTTAATTTGGTGGTTCTCAACCTTCCTAATGCCGCAGACCTTTAATACAGCTCCTGTGGGTCACAACCCACAGGTTGAAAACCACTGCTTTAATTCATAGTTGGAAAACTGTTTCCAAAGTCCAAACCAAACAGCCCTGGAAGGTTTTCTTCTGTAAGTATAAAAAAAAGAGGAATACACAAATTTTAAGAACCTCCTTTCCCCAAAGTTTTGGCCACGATTTTCCTTCTCTTTCTCCTAGTTTTGCTAAATTGGCTCTGTTCCACAAGGCATAGTTCAAGGTCCTATGTTGTTACAATAATCCATAAAAAACCTCCAAAAAAATCTTGAGAAGATCATGTCAGGGGACCATTTCTGCCTGACTCAAACCAACTAAAAATGCCTCCATTTTTCAAGATCTGAGAAAAAATGGATGGGCAAGATTTTTTAGCTTGTTTTAAAACCCATCCAGCAAACACCCCTATATCACAACGTTGGCCCTGGCTGAAGATACATCCGCACCCTTAAGGCCCAGGAGACTGCCTGCTGATCACTTCCTACATTAGGAAGTCAGAGGCTGTGGTGGATCCACACCCCACTGTAGAGACTAGTCTCTTTTAAAAAATGAAGAGTCCGGGAAGAGAGGCAGAAAAGAAACAAGTAGACACAGCTGCTTCTTTCCTTCCACATGCTCACTGCACATTGTTGTTGAGAATGCAGGGATCCACCTGGAGGAAGAAAGAAACCCTTTTAGTTTGGATAACAACTACAAGAAAAAACCAGTTTGGCCATCCAAGTCCGCTTCACATAGAAGGCTTAGGACAAATCTAACGGTAAAAATGACAATTCTCACCTCAGTGTAAGTTGGTGGTGGCATGAACTTGAACTCAGGAGCATACATAAAAATAGGGCTGTCTTGAGAGCCATCCATGTCATCTAGCAGAGGAGTGGTGGGGCTCTCCAGTCGGTGATCTTCAGGAATGATATCCATATAGCAAGGAGGAGCTAAAGAGAGAGAGTATGTAGAGATAAGAAGCCTGACCAAGAGATGCTGATGCTGTACACTATCACAATTTTATAAACCCAAGCAGACCAAAGGGAAAGAAAAGACATTAGGTCCCGGCTCACCTTCTGGGGTATCAGGGATGTTTAGATCTACCCAGCTCATCTCAGAGCTGGTCCGGCTGGCCATGCTGGATGTTCGGCTGCTTAGACCTGATCTACTGCCAATTACCAATGGCAAGTCAAGGATCACTTTCTTTGAGCCAGGGACACTAACGTAGATCTAAAAAGGAAAATGGCAGTTTTGTTAGACAAGAGGTCTGGAGAAAACCCAACTGTTAAGGTAACAGATAAACAATTTGTCCCCTATGGCCACTCCCATCCACTCACCAATAAAGAATATTCAACTCGAAGGATGTTGCAACCCAAGATAGAAGGTCTGATCTTCTGCACTCGAAGGCTTTTGCCACGCCATGATGCACATGTCCCTGAGATAATATGATTGCCTCTGACTGATGACAACTTCTGAGTTAGCACCTTGGTCTGGCCATTGGCAAGGTAAGTGTGGCGGGCAACAATGGCAGCTTTGGGGACCACAATTCGAGAACATGTATTCTCAAAATCAGCATGGATGGAAATATCATCACCTAGCAAAAAAATAAAAACTTGTTAACTAACACTAAGAACAGTTTATGGTATGTCCTTGCCCTAGCCCTGTGCCCTCACATCCGAACTCTTGAGTATCTAATCTGTCCACCATTTTAAGTACTAGGTTTTTACCTTCACAGAATCCTTTTCTGTCAATTCGAGCAGAGACAGATACCCGACCATCAGGAATGAACATGCAAGAAACTTTCTTCTCCTTTTTAGCAGACACAGGTGCCTACACAGAATGGGACAAAAAAAGTGTTTTGAGATGCCTAAGCACTTCATTTATCATCCCTGTGACCCAGGAAAATAGAATCTTAAAATAAACCTCACCATTAAATCAGGAGTAGTGACATCCACCAGATCCATCACTTCAAAGCTTTTCTTTATTTCTTGAGTTGGCTGGCTGGGGCGATCAAGAAAAGCCTTTACCCAGTAGTCTACACACCCATATTTTCCTTTGAAAGATGTTCCCAGAGGCCTGTGTCAAGAAAAACAATTTTAAAACGCTCTGCAGGAACAGTAAGTGATCAAAGAAAAACAAAATATTTGGAGACAGAAGAGTTCACATATGCATTTAGTTGATACTTACCCCTGAGGAAGCTCAAAGCCGAACTTGTACTCGTATTTGTTTCCAGGTCTCATGATCACCATCTCATTCTCACCTGAAGGGAGAGAAAAGTGAGCAACCTTTAGGTTTCTTGTTACACGTAAAATGTAGCTGTGTGATAAAAGAAAGCTGAAGTAACAGGCAAGGGTATTGTAACAGCACAGTTTCATCCCTTATGCTCTTAAATTAGAGATTCTGATGCATTTTGGGGGGCCACAGTTGCAAAACCCTATAAAATTGAAATGCACACCCAGGAATTACCCTACTAACATCTCCAACAGAAAGCATAGCAAGAATAAGCAACTTAAACATGCAAGAGCCTTTAAATAGCTGATGCAACACTCCTCAAGGACCACCTTTAAGTAGGACATAGTACCCTAAGAAACTGTTCAAATCATCACCCTTGAGGAGGGATATAGGGCAAATGTTTGCAGATTAAAACTAAAGAGGAAGCAACATAATTCAAACCAAACTGAGCAATTTAAAACACTTCGTATAGGTTCTATTGATTTCTTTCAATTCTCTTATCAGTTTTCCCCTTCCCACACTGAACTGAACAAGTACCTGTTGGCTGGTCGTCCAGGAGAAGCGTGTCTTCGTAGCGTAGATACTCCAAAGTCTGCTTGCACTGCTGGGATCCCTGCATCCAGAGGACTTTAGCCACTCCACAAGCCAAGATCCTAACGGCTTTAACTCGAGTAACTTCACACACCTCTACTATCACTCGGCCGGCCACCTTCTCACCACTGCCATACACCTTTTCAGGATCGTTAAAGATCACCTCAAAAGTCTTGATCTTCTTGAACATCACCATGATTGGGCTGAGTTGGCTCAAGAGTCGCAAACGGGAGTGAAACAAAAAAACCCAAAACCCCCAAATCCAAGAATTCTTTGCAGTCCCACGCTTCCTAAGGAGTGAGCGTGTCCTTAAACAGGTTGGGCTTAAAAACAAGATTTAAAGACGCCCACAAAGGAATCTTAACTATTAAGTTTTTAAAATGTCCAAATTTTTGAGCTGCTGGTTAGCCAGAAAAATTCAAGAAAAAAAACAAAATAAAATGAAATAAGGTCTTTCTCTTTTTCTCTCTAACCGAGAGAAAAAAGAAAATCCAGATCGCAACAAAAAGAAAGAAGATAGCAAGTGGGAGGAGAGGAGGGAACAGTCTCTACCAAGAGCCGGAAACTGGCTTATATAGTAACCCCGGCCGCCGAGCCACGCGAGCGCGGGCCTGGAGGCGCGTGCTGTCCTCGTGCACAGCCATCCCATTGGCTGTCCGGTCCTTGTTTACCAGGAGCCCGGCCAATCAGCGAGCTCGCAGAGGCGCGTGGACACGGTGTGCTCTTGGAGCGGAAAATGGTTGTTGTGCTCAGTTGCTACACGGGGGGCGGGGGAGGGGGTCGTGGATTGACTCCCTCCCCCCCCAAAAACTATCTAGGGCGAGTGGCCAGCTGAGGGCCGGTGTGGACGCTTCTGATTTAGGAGCAGTGTTTTTGAGGTAAAAAGGAAAGTGCTCCTGAGGGGATTTCATGCCTGGTCTTAGCTAGTGGGATGACTTTAGAGACAGCTGTTTATTCCCGGCTCAGAAGTGACACGTCTGAAAAACAATCCTGTAGCTTTTCAAGGTTAGGGTGGCGGGGCGCAGAGCGTGCCGTTGGGACTGTGCGGGAGGATCCTTTTTGTCTGTCTTTTACCCCGCATTTCTTTTAAAAACCAAAAAACTGGCTTCTCTGAAAGAAAGGTGAACTTGCCCCCAATTTCTGATGGGTTGTCTCCCTCCCCTCTAGCCCCTGGGGCCCTGATGTTGGGTTGCGTCGCTGTTCCTCGCCCTGCATGTGCCTCTGCTCGGTTCTCTCTGTCCTCCGTGACGGAAATGGTAAGGGCGTGCTCACATCCTACTGCTTATCCCCTCATCTCTGCAGTTTCACCCGCAGAGTTGGGGAACACTGTGTTTATGTTCTCGTTTACCTCATTACCTCTTCAGTAAGGTGTGTTCTTTAGGCTCAGGTTATCTCTCACTTCCTGCTTCTCCAGAAAAGAAAAGGAAAAAACAACAAGGGTGCTCCCCCATCCCCGTTACTTTCACTCTTTCTTGTCTTCACTCTTTGTCTTGACCTTCTCCCAACTCCCTAAATCAAATGTACATCCATAAGTCTGGTTAAAAGCTAGAAAGTCCTGTTTCTAACCAAGTTGTTAGGGACCAGGGGCTGTATACCTGTTTGAAAGATTAGTGTTTTACCTTTTGAAAGTTTTTTCCTAAGCTATTTAGAAATCAGTAAGAAGGGCAAGAGAAGAAACAGGGGTCACCAGAGCACTGTAAAGTCACTCTAAAAGGGACTCCTGATTCCTCTTTGTTGGTTGGTTTCATTTGGGTGTCTGTCAAATTGCTTTCTCCTTGTTGGCTGTGCGATGCCTTAGGAACTGACTCCTGAGAAATTATTCCTAAATGTAATGTAAAAATTTTTATGCAGAGGTGCAGGGATTCTTTCTCCTTTTCTTTGATTCCCAGACTCTTTCTATATCTGTGTTGGGGTGTCAGGAGATCATTACCTCATTCCTTGTGCTGGAAAGAGGAAGATAATGTCCCCACGATTGAGACAGGGAAGTGAATAAGAAGCATTTGAACATAATGAAATTCCTATTCTCTCAGCAAAAAGAAATCTATTCATTACTGTTAAGGATCCTTCTTCCTTCCTCATACACCCTAACTGAGTTGACACCCTAAGGCTAACAAGTTACAACTCAAGTCCTATGTTAAGCAAGCTCAAGAATCAGGCATCAAGATTCTCTTGGAAAACATACACACCTCTATGCCTTGGGAACATGTTGATCCTTAGGGTGTGTGGGTTGGAGGTGGCACCACCCTATTCTAGAAAGTTAACCAACTAGGCTTGACATTTTCTGTAGGTCAGCAATATTGGTACAGTTATAGGGAGCAGAGGAGGTAGGACTTTGGCTAAAATAAATTTTTTTCCTTTTTTTTTAGAGTCAGAGTCTCAGTCGCCCTGGGGGTGAGTGCCATGGCATTATTGCTCACAGCAACCTCAAACTTTTTTTTTTTTTTGAGATAGTCTCATCATGTTGCCCTTCGTAGAGTGCTATGGCATCACAGCTCACAGCAACCTCAGACTCTTGGGCTTAAGCGATTCTCTTGCCTCAGCCTCCCAAGTAGCCAGGACTATAGACACCTACCACAATGCCCAGCTATATTTTTATTGTAGTTATCATTGTTTAGCAGGCCCGGGGCTGGGTTTGAACCCACCAGCCCCAGTGCATGTGGTCAGCACCCTAACCACTGAGCATGGGCACTGAGCCAGCAACCTCAAACTCTTGGGCTCAAGCAATTCTCTTGCCTCAATCGCCCAAGTTGCTGGGACTACTGGTGCCTGCCACCGCGCCAGGCTACTTTTTAGAGACAAGGTGTCTGTCTTGCTCAGGCTGGTCTTGAACTCCTGAGCTGAAGGGATTCCCCTACCTCGGCCTCCCAGAGTGCTGAGATTACAGGTGTGAGCCACCAGCCTCCCAGAGTGCTGGGATTACAGGCCTGAGCCACCCAGCCTGGCCCTTTTTTCTTTTTTTTGAGACAGAGTCTCACTCTGTCCGCCTGGGTAGAGTGCCATGGGATTATCATAGCTCATATCAATGTCAGTCTCTTGGGCACAGGTGATTCTCTTGGCTCAGCCTCCCCAGTAGCTACCACTACAGGCACCTGCCACAATGCCCAGCTAGTTTTTCTATTTTTAGTAGCAACAGGATGTCCCTCTTGCTCAAGCTGGCCTCCAACTCCTGAGCTGAAGGTATCCTCCCGGCCCAACCTCCCAGAGTGCTAGGATTATAGACATGAGCCACTCCCCCCACCTGACTAAAGTAATTTTATAAGTTCAAAATTGTGACTCTGGGGAATTTTTAGTTTGATGGGTATGAAAGTGTACATAAATATGAAACATTAGGCTCAGCACCTGTGGCTCAAGCGGCTAAGGTGCCAGCCACATACACCTAAGGTGGCGGGTTTGAATCCCCAGCCCGGGCCCGCCAAACAACAATGATGGCTGCAACCAAAAAATGGCCGGGCGTTGTGGCGGGCGCCTGTGGTCCCAGCTAC